GAAATTATAAGGCCTCAAACCACCTCCGGATACTAACAAGTTGAAACAATCACGGTTTTCTCTTAATTAGTATTCTTTTCATACTTCAATGCGGTTTTCATACATTTTGCAGTCTCCCTACCCAATTTTCGTCACTATCGGAAGTAATCTGGGATTATGCGGAACACTCCATCTCTCACTCCAACTATTAACAGAGGTCTATTGCACCCACCTGGGTCGGGTAAGACTCTTCATATCTTTAAAATGGCTGCACAACAACAAGAACATAGATGAGAAGAACCCATTTTATGAGTTATTGTTATTTGTAGTACTTCTGGTCCAATTTGACCAAACCGTCCAATTCGTTCAAGAATAAAAAGTCTAAGTTAGTATGTAATGACGTAAACTGAATTTGATATTGGATTAAAAAGACCCAAAAGAGTTTTGAAGTATAATGCTATAAATGAGTATATATAAATTCTCTTTAAAGAAACACTAATGAGAGAAATGCGCAAGAATATTAAACAAACACCCACTTCTCAGAAACCAGAAGAGGTAATATGAATACATTTCGAAGAATAATGCAATCTTTACGATCTGATACACCATCCCCTCATAGATGTCTTCTTATCTTAGATGATTTCGCCTCTCATCCTTTGTTAAAGAACAGGAGAACAAGATATGTGTCGAATCTTAAGAAGCTCAGACACTTTAACATCTCAGTTGTCATTTGTGTACAGACAGCAAAGAGTTTAAGTAAGGATGTTTAAAAATAATACTTACTGGACATAATACTTTTCCCCAGTCGAAAGACGATTCATGGAACTTATGAAAGAGTCCATGGCAGGTAATTTGACAGGACACCAATGAAAAAATAAAATGATATTTATTTTAAATATATAAGTCCTTATATAAAATATAAATATTTTATCGTTTTTATTTTCTTGTTTTAGAAATGTTTTTATTGAAAAATCAAAAAACTAACTCCAAAATAAAATTTTGATTTAAAGAACACTATGATGACACCAGGCAAATCTTCCAAGACACCTATCGTCGGGAATCTAACAACTCTATCAGCAGACAAATAATTGATTGAGAGTGATATAAAAATTGAATTTAATTCAATGATCAAAACCGACCCATTTGTATCTCAAAAATATAATTTTTTCTATGTCAGAGTTTTGATCCCTTTAGGAATCTTACATATACAGCCTTAATTTTCAAAATTTAATAATTATGCTCAATGATGTAAAACCGATTCAGAAATTAATATTAGAGTGTCAGAGTATGTTTATTTGCGATCTTTTCTCATTACTAGTAAGTTGTTCATTCTTGTAGCCCTAGAAATTTATTCTATAATCCAGAATTTTGTTTATTCGGATATGAAACTCCGGATTGGACACCGGCATCATTCTTTAAAGTTAAGCGCAAAATTGATGTGCCTCTAGAAAAAAATTGGCCAGTATTACGATATATAAATGAAAACAAGAAGATCCTACGCAATACCATTTCTCAATATAGAAAACGAAAGAAACACACGACTACAACTTTTATTACAAGACACTTCAGACTACACACTATAGACTTGAAAGAGCATATGTTAGCTTTAATGGTGCTGTAGGTCTTGATGAAAACACCATTTTCCAACCAAACAGATTTTGAAAGGAACGCTACAAATGCAAGTGTTTGTAGGCCATTACCGCGAGGTTATTGTTACAGGATTTATGGGCAACATATAATTTTGGCCATTCATTTGAAGATTTTTTCACTCCACTATTTTTAATTCCTGAAGAAAATTAGAAGGAGATCACATATTATTGTATTCTCAATGCCATTTTCTCTATAATAACCCTGGATCTTCTAGGCTTTTTTACCAGATCGAAGAAATATTTACCAAAAAATAAATGAATATATTTCGGCTGATATACTCCATTGTTTGCAAATAGAACCTTTTACATCAGTCAATGGGGGCCAAACACTTACAGATTTAAACGTTCTTGCATGAAAAATTCGAATTAGATAAAATTACACCATCTGAATACTGCTTTACAAACAGGCCTAAAGGCAAGAGAAGCATTTCATACATCTTATGAAAAATTCAGCAAAAGCAAAGTTCCCAACAATTGATTGGAAATTTATTCCAGATAATCATACAAATCTTATTGAATGCGCCAGGGATTTCAAAAAGATTAAGTTTCTTTTCTCTCCTGTAGGTTCAAACATTTGTAAATGCATTTTTATGGCCGACAATACTGTTGTTATATGCGTTACAGCGAATTTCCCTGAAAATTCTCTGGCAGGTTTCTGTTTAAGTTGTAAATTATTTGAGTTACAATATGATTCAATCTCTGCTCATCATTTAGAATATGGTTCACCAATTAATGTGAACGATGCATTATTCCATATAGAAAAATGTTTGAAAGTATTAGAAACTGGAAATTGGAACGTATATAAATAATAAGAATATTAAAATTAATTTTGAAAATAATCTATTTAAAGTCGATTTATATTCAATTTTTTGAATAAATTCAAAATCGACTCGTAATCCAATAGTTGACAATTTGTAATATCTTTAAAATAGACGCATTATTCATATGGCGCAATGAAATAAAAAAATCAAAATGTGTAAAGCATATTTTGAATATACTTACTATGCAATTTCATACCAGTCTCTATTAAGTTATCGATATTACAATAAATAAGAAAATGATTGTTGAAGTTCTGTGTAGCTGTCAATGTTACATTTGATAAAAAAAATTAAAACATAAATTGAGTATAGCAAGCATTAATCCATTACTTCTAACTTTTTTAACAATTTGATGAAGTTTTAAGAACGACGATATATCTTGTTTGGCCAATTGTACAATTGCTACTTAATTCTGATTAAATTATAAAACATAATCTACATACAAAAATATAGTAATGCAATAATCTCGGGAACATGGCTCTCAATTTTGAATAGTTTACGAATTTCTCAAATAAAATTGAGGGGATTATGTTCCCGAGATTTTTGCAAAAACAGTTTTTTAAAAAGTTCTATAAATTCTTTTACAAAACAATATAACAATATGTATATCTTCAATATTTAGGTCAGGTAAGTGGGGCTTCCAGGCGCGTTGCGCCCTCTAGCCCCGAAGATGTTTAGTATAAATGAAGTTTTTATTCGGAAAATTGTTAGTCTTCTGGTGTGAATTCGGAGGACTCTTCTTGGATAGAGTCTTGTATTTCCTCCTCTTCTTCCTCCTCCATTGCTTCTGGGAAGAAGCCTTCTTCTGGGTCGAAAACATTATATAATGTGTAATTGAATGACACATTATATCTTTCTTTGAGTTCGCTCCTGACAAAGAACTTAGTTCCAGGAATACAGAAGACTTCTGTGCGTTGGAAAAGCTGATGTCCTGGAACGAATTTGGCAATTAGAGACTTCTTTTTTCCGAATTGTTCAGGAGTTTTCATGACGACAGTAACAACATCTCCATCTGCGAGGTCTTGTTGTTGTTCGGAAAGGTAAAGAGCAATGATATGAATGGTTGCTGCGTTGAATTCGAGAAAGTCGAATTCAAATTGTGTTGTCGTATAATATTCAAACCATTTTGTACGGTTGTCTCCGAACTCGTCAACGTATTCATCTTCGTCATATCCGTAACTAAAGACTTGGAATTCGGCAATTCTCTTGTCGAATGACCGTTGGATGTAACGAGGAAGATTTTGACGAACTTGGTATAAAGTTCTCAACATTATAAGCTTAGTAAATGTTGGAAAATACTGAACTAAGACATCGCTAAGCTCAATTGGACTTGGAATTGTCTTAGTAAGTTCAATTGAACTAGTAATTGCTTTGTTCAGAACTTCACAGAACTGAGTATTGTATGTAGCGTCTGGTTGTGTGTTTTCTTCGGCGTCTTTGAGATATTTAGAGCAAATTTGTTGAAGAATTTCTCTTAATTCGCTGTTAGACTTTTTGGTGGTTATTCTAACCGCTGTGCCAGTTCTTGGAGGTTGTGGAGCTTTGGCTTTGGTTAGCGGTTGAGAATTGTTAATGTTTGAATTGTGGTTAACAGCGTTGGCTTCCATTAGATAAAAATGAACTGACCAAAAAAGACAGATATTTAAATATTTGAGATAAACCGTTTTCGTCAACGGTAACCCCCTCTATTTTTTTATTTTATTTAATAGTTACCGTTAGAAAAACGGTTTATCTCAAATATTGAATGAACTATAAACGTTTTTTGTTTTCTATATATACTTTTTTGTCCAACGGTAAAACTTTTTACACAACGGTTTTTGAGAGTCGTCGCCGTTGACTTTTTTGTAGAGCACTCAAAATAGTATAACTTTGTCCGGACAAGTAAGGGTCTATCGTCGCTACAGGAAAAGTTACAGGCATTCCAAGGAAGTATACTTTGAGAAGCCTTTTCTCCATTATAGAATGAGATAGGACGGTTATTTTACAAAACTGACAACACTTTGACCGAGTAGTTTTTTGTGCTGAACAAAAAGTGTCATATAAACATCTGTCAAAAACCGCTTTTTAACTTCACTTAAAATGCCACGTAAGCTACGTAAGAATATACGTAAGAGGAAGGGAGCATTGAAACATCCAATAGTAAAACTGACACCACAACAACAGTTGCAACAACAAATGATGAATGACCCCACTATGTTGCAACAAATGTCAAGCAACCCTATGCTTTTAAACCGAGTTATTGGTGCACAGAGTGGAGGTTTAAGAGCGGCACTTTTAGCGAAAATGGCAGGCTATGGTGGAGCTGCAGACGGAACAGCTTATAACCCTCAAAGTCAAATGAATTTGAGTTCACTCAAAAATCAAATAACAGATGTCAAAAAGTCAAACATAGACATACAGAAACAAATAAGTGAAAACGAAAAGAAACTAGAATATGACAGACAGACAAAGAAACTAAATGAGTTAAACGTAGAGAAAAAGAAGAAAAATGAAAGAACTAAGTACAGAGGAATATGCGAAAAAAGTGTCAGAAAAAGCAGCAGAAGTAGCAAAAATGGAACAAGATGTTATAAATTTGAAAAACCATACTACTCAATATAAAGTACTGAAAGATGAAGAGATAAAACAAAAAGCCATGAAGACATATATGGATAGCGATGAGTATAAAAAAGAAGTTGAAGCAAATGTAAAGGCAGAAAAACTTTTACAGTTGCAAAACCAAACCGTACAGTATGAAAACTTAGCACAAGAAAGTAAAAATAACGACGCAGCCATGCAAAAGGCAATGAAAAGCGCAGAATATATAAAAGCTAATAATGACTGGTTAGATGCCCAAGCCAACGCTAAAGCAGCCCAACTTATAGGGTCAATAAGGACAAAAATACAAGCGGATGAAGACAGTTCAAATGAAGCTTTAATGAATGCTGACTTTAAGAATGCCTTCGAAGCTCTTCATAGTAAGGTGAAACTAGTGAACGACTTCTCATCTGGAAAGAAACTGAAGTCTGAAGGTTTCGACAAAGAGTTAAGAGAAGTAGCACAAAATATGACGAAAATAACAGATGCAGCAACGAGACAGGCAGTTCAAAGTGCCTATGACGCCGTTAGAGCAACTGTTGTGGAAAGTCAAGAAAAAGAGTTACAACAGACCAAAACAGACCTAGTAAATGCTTTCTTAAAAACGAAAAGTCAGGTAGGACATTATGCTGCAGATGGAACATATGTGCCAGCTGGTGGAACTTATATACCACCAAACCCTCCAAGAGAAGCACCTGCACCAGGACTACCTAAAACATTTACATCGTCACATGGACACAGACACAGGCATGCACCAAAACCAACACAACAACCAACAGTTCAAAATCCAGCACCACAACAACAACCAAAACCAACAGTTCAAAACCCTGCACAACAACCAACAGTTCAAAATCCAGCACCTGCACCACAACCAAAACCAGCACAACAACCACCTCCACAACCAGCACAGCAACACCAACAGTTCAAACCCTGCACAACAGAGCAAGGACATAAAAGAAGTAGAGAAAAAGGAAACCAAGAATTCTTAAAAATGCTTAAGGAAGATTATGGTTACCCAGATACTCTTGACTTTAGTGACAGATATAAAGAAGCTATTAGAAAGTTCAAGGAAGGAAATACTGACCCGAACCTATTTAGCTTTATGGTTGAGCATCAAATCGGATATAATCTCAAACCTGGAAAATACAAGCTCGCTAAGGGATATGATTTAATAGCATATCATCCAAATGACATGAATGAATTTACTCCGAGATATTTGATGTCAGAGCTAAATGATAATTCAACTCTCTTCATGAAACGCGTAAAAAATAGAGACGGAACGAAAGAAGAAAGGTTTATGAGTCCGGATGACTTAGATAGGGAACTTGTTAAAAACGGTCTCGGAATATATGAAATGCCAGCAGATGAGGTACAAGAAACTCCACAGGAAGAAGTTCAGATACAACCAGACATGGAAGAAATAGTTCAGCAACAACAGCTAGAAGAGCCTGAAGGAAACGAACAAGTCCCTCCTTTGGAAACTAACTTCACAGAACTAGATGAAGATTTGGAACAGCCGAAAAATCTTGACCCTCAACAAGAGTATGAGGTGAATATGGAATCTTTCCAAGAGTCTAAGAAAAATTCGGCTGACATAGTAGAAGAATATCGAAAAATGTTCACCGACATACAAAAGACTCCAACATCAGATGAAAATATTCAGCATAGAATGGAAGTACTGAAAGAAAATGTACGCAAATACAATAATCCTTTTTACTTACGACCATATAACGTTCAATCTTTGGCTGAACTCGGTGAAAATAAAAGGTTAAATTTCAACAAAACATATAGAAATGAAACATTGTTTAAAGTTCATTCAGAACCTAACCAATATGGAAACAAACCTACTTTTGTTTCTGCAGACTATGGAACTACAATGAAATGGGGTCATAAAGCTAATCCGGATAGGTGGTTCATAAACTTACAACCTCAATTCCAAGAAGTTGTAGACGCAATGGAAGTGAATGGTGAACCAGATATAACGGGTATTTTCAGCGCGGCTTTAATGCCATTGAAAGATATGAAAGATGCAGATATTTTGGACCAGTATGAAATGAACATGGCTGAGGGAAATATAACACCTGACGTTCTAGAACATTTATCTCAAAGAACTACACAGAACCATAGAGATGGTATATTTGGTGAAGAGTTTAGAAAGAAAGTTAGGGAGAGAGAAGGAAGAGAACCTATTGTACATGACCTTGCAAACGAAAGTTTGCAAAATGTCATAAAAACTTACTTTGCAGACAATGAAATGAGAAGGGATGAATATTTAAGAAAACTCAAATGGACAGTACCAAATGAAATGTTAGTATTGAAAAACATGTTCCATGACAAAATAAAACCAACTACAGAAATAAATGACGCAAGACTGAAACGTTGGGTAAAAGCTTTCCCATTCACAAAAGATATTATTGGTTACATGGAAAGAAAACCAGAATGGCTACAAAAACATATATTTGGAAACGAGCTTATTCCATATGGACAAGCTCTGTTTGAAGAGCTTGAACCGGAAACTCAGGAAAGAGTCATGCAAACAATAAGCGAAGACTCAAATACAAACTATGACAAAATCTTTCTAGGATATAGGTTACCTGAGATGGGCGACCAGAGCCCAAAGGCAAAAAGGACATGGGAAATTTACAACATACTAGGTGAACATGAGGCAAAGATGCTACAACTTGAAGCAGAGGGCAAGTTACCAAAAGCGACACCAAAGAAGAAGAGAATAGTAGAACAAAGTGAAAGTAGTGAAGAAGTAACTTCATCTAGTGAAAGTAGTGGCAATGAAGGAAAAAGAAGAGTTAAAGATTCAGTTAAAAACTCAGTCAGGAAGAAAGTAAAGCTTGGTCCGAGTGGGTTCTATTATGACATATAAATCCAACTATTCTATATTTTTACCCATATGAAATGTACGCCGCTCAGAATATAACGCCAACAGTTTTGGATGCCATGAACGGAAATGTTTCCGAATGGTATAACGAATGCGATAATGCCATTAGAAGGTCAGAAATAGTTCCTGGAACTTACGAATATACAACTGCTGTTTCTTATGGAAACGTAGGTGAGTTTGGAGAAGGTTCTTCAACAACAGTAGATATTGCTTGCGACAGGTTTCATATTATTTCTATTGACAACTCATTCTTATACGTGGAACAAGACATTGAAATAAAACCTTCTTCCAAGTTGTCTGACAAGAAAGGTTGCAATGGAATTTTCTATGTCGGATACCAATATGCTCCAGAAGTTTTCATGGGATATAAGATATATTCTAACTCTGACTTAGTTCAAACAGTAACATGGGCAAACTATGAATGGTTCGCTTTGAGAAACTCAGTACAACCACAAGCTAGAGAACAAACAGACCAGTATGCAACTATTGAGAAAATAAGAAGACTTGACCCTAACGTTCCAGGAGTTTATGTTAACCTTTCTGGTTCAGATGGAACTGCTGCCACTAAAGTAAAACTGAAACTTAGAGTTCCTTTGTCATCTTTCCTCATCTTCAGGTTTTTAAGATACTTGCCAAACTGGGCAGGAAAAATTTCTATCGAACTTACTCCAAGCAAAAATAACTTAGTCATTGCACCAACACAAGACCCATTCACTATTACAGACGTAAAGAGAACAAATCAAACGTCATTCGTCGAATTTTGCAAAGACAAAGTTGACTTAGACTTTGGTTTCTCAAACTTCAACAATGAAGTAAACTATTATTTCAATGCTGCTGGAACTGCTTGGGACCCAGTTAAGTTCACATGCGAAAAATTTGAATGCAAGAGAATAGAAAGCAGACTTGCAGTCTATATGTTGGACCCAGATATTTCAAATGCTTTAGCTGCCAAATATATTGCAGTTCCACTTATGTTCCCTATACACCAAATATCTGTCAAAGACTTTGCAGGTGAAGTTGGAAACCAAGTTAGTTAGTATACATATCAAGGGTACGGAGGCACTGCGCGCCTCCTTACCCATGATATGTGAATTTGACACTTTACGAAACCGTTAACGTATATTTTACAACACAAACGACAACACTAACTTAACCTTAAATATTTACAAAGCCACCAACCACTTCACCTCACTAATGTAAAAAATAAACGTTCTCACTTACAAAAGTATTGCAACTCCTCCCATTGCTGTGCTTCATATAACAGCTCATAATCTTCTGACTCACTTTCTTCTTCATATAGGTCAAAATCACTGTCATAGTTTATACCTGTAAGTTTTGACAAAGCTAATGAAACACGCTTACCGTTTGTATCATATGCTTGTATAAACTTTCCATTATGCTTGTAGTCATAAATGCTTAAACTAACTTTACCCCTTCTCCCTCGTATCTGATAGAATGTATTTTCACGAGGAACGAAGAACAAATTCTTGAACTCATGACCGTTGTAGTTTGTTATCTCAATAGTTTTCGTCATTTATATAAAAATAAAATAAAAAATAAACTTAAAAATTAATGATATCACCACCCTCACACATATGAAAACATAGCACAAAAATAAATTTAGGTGAAGTGGTGAGATCTCACCTGTTTTTTCACCTCTTTTTTCACCCTGTTGAATTCAATGCTTTATAACTCTCTTCCTTTCTCCAACTCTTCTAACTTCTTCTTAAGTTCAGCAATGTTGTCCTCATGAAGTTTAATCTTCCTTAATATACCTTCTCTATCTAATGGTTGCTTTATCTTTCTAAACTGAACTCTACCATCCTTCATAGTATGAATGTAAAAACCTTCTGGAATAGTTCCTGATTTAATGTATTCTACCAAAAACTTTTGTTTCATTGCTTCAGTGACTTTATTTGTCATTTCAATCAAATAAAAATTTTAATATTAAATAAAAATAACGTTATTTTTTCAGTAAGGAAACGCAGGAGTTTTACGATTTATTTGAGGAGTAGGTTCTGGTTTAAATGTTGGAGTCGGTTTAGGAGTTGACTTTTGAACAGGAGTTTGTACTTCCATAGGTTCAGGAGTCATTGAAGGTTTTGCTTGTGAAGGCGTTGGTTTTGGCGAAGGTGTTGGAGTTTGTTTAACTTCAGCTACTTCAGTATTATTTACAACATTTGCTTTATTTCTTTTCAACATCATAACTGCTCCTGCTGTAGCTAGCAAACCTAGTGGGAGACCATATCTTATATAAGGACTTGACCAAATGCTATTTTTGTCAGGAGCTGGTGGAACACCTAACCTTGGTGAGACTGCTCTTTGCCATTGTGCAGCTCGTAAGAAATATTCAATAGGTGCTCCATAATCGTTTGGTAAAGTTTGTTTCATAGATGGTGAAGGTTCACGAGAGCTTGATGAAGAACTCATTTATAAGCTTTAAAAATAAACGTTCATCCTTTATTCCTCACTGTCGTCCGTAGCTAAGTTATAGTCATCTAATCTTATTATGGGGATGCCATTAGCACGCACCTGAATGGCAAAGCAACAATCCCTCATAAATCCAATAAGTGGCTTTGGTACATTTTCAGTTGCTAGTTCAATAGGTCCTTTAACAGACAATTTGTATGTTATTGGAGCAGTAGATGTTTGACCTTGCTGGAAGCAAAAGTCCACTTCTGTTGGAAAACCACATAAGAAATGTGTGTTGTCATAGCTATCCCATTTATGTTCCACACTACCATCATCCACCAATGACCTCATAACATCTTCATTAAATCCTATCATATCATTGTTTGTATTGCAAGCGTTCGCAACCATTTCATAAAATACAGGTCCATATGATTTTTCAGGTTCTGCAGGCATATTTCCATAAGCTCCATGGAAAGCTGAAGATATTTAAACTTAGGGTTCTCAAAATTAACATAATAGTTGTCTTTCTTTCTAAATAGTGCCCAAATACTTTTAACATTAATAGGCGTATAAGCTGCTGTAAATGTTGCACTTGAACTATCTGTATTCTTTGAGAATGAACCGTCCATAGGAATCCAATCCATAACTTTAACAGGAAAACATAAAGCCTCGTTTGTATAATGTTCTACAAGTTCTGTATAAATGTTAGGGTCTAAAGAGAATGACTTTGGATGAATGAAACATTCATTAAAATCCATCTTTGTTCGAAATAGTTGCTGGGTTACAGTTGTAATAGTAACTGTTCCACTAGCTTCTACTGCCTTCGTTATCATAGTGAATGGTTCATTCCATGGAACAAATTTATTTGTCGGTGGATTTGAATCTGAAGCAAATGCAACTTTAAGAGTTGGATTGAAAGCAATGATATCATTTACAGATATAGATGTGCATTGTAAGGCGTCGCTACTGAACTTTACTTTAAGCTGAATGTTTCCTGCAAAAGCTGGAATAAATCGAATAGCTTCTAATGGAAGGAATCTTCTAACAGGAATTCTTAAACGAAGCTTAAAATCAAATGATTTTCCTGCTGTAATTGGACCACTAACAATTTGTCCTGTTCTGCATGTTCCCGAATGACTCCATACATCTTCATGTCGAGTCTTTGAGAAAACATCTACTTTCTTTATTTGTTCGGTAGTTTGTGAGTTTGAAGTTATATATGCTTCTTCTCTTGCGTTGTCTTGAGAATATACGATACGACCATTTGCAAGGATTTGATATCCAGCAACTGCATAGAAAGCGTCATCGAAACCAATCCAAAATCCTGGTGGGTTTGTTTTTATTGGAACCTGAACCAATTTCTTTATCTACAATAAATTGACCTTCCATTTTATACGTAATGAATGTATTGTAAAGGTCCAACATATTTTCACCAGGAGGTGAGAGATTGAATGTTACCCATGTGTTATCTTTAGCAGTTCCAGGTTGTGATGGAATCTTTGCGTCAGAATATTTTCTATTAGTGTCACCAATTTGAACTGCATTGTCTATGATATCGAAATATGAGCGAATCTGATGAATATGCTCTGCTGGAGTAAATTTGTTTAACTGTTCGTTCTGCATGTATTTACTTCAGATAAAAATATCTATTTACTTCATTATTCTCACTCTTCTTCTTGGCATTCGTGGTGGAAGTTGTTTCTTGACATTTTCAATGAACTGTACATTCTCTTTTGTCTCAACTTCTTTCACTGGCGGGTCAGGGTTCTTTGACTCGGTTTGTTTTTCAATGAAATTCACGAACTTTGCAATAAGCTCTTGCTTCGTTATTGAAAGTACATCTGGCTTCTTTTCTTCTTGTTCTATTGACTTTTCAGTTTGAATAGAAGGTTTTATATGGGCTTCGTGGACTTCACCCTTACCATACACCTTAATGTTGTCGCTTTCTGCATTCGCTAATGGAACCTTTCTTTTTCTTACGTATATTTTACCATCTTTACTCTGACTTACGTAATAGAAAGGATGTTGTATTCCTCTTGCGTCATTTAATATAATAGACTCTCGCTCTGATTTTGACAAGCTCATTTTACATCGGTTAAAGTTTTAATTTTGTTTTTTATCTGCAGTCAAATGACTCAGACAAGCCTTACGGACAAGACCCAAGGGGTCATAGATGTTGAAGCATTGAAGAAAGAAATTCGTGAGCAAATTTTATCCGAACTGAAGGAACAAAAACAAGAACAAAAGCCAGAGAGACCAAAGAGAAAACTTAGTGAAAAACAACTTGCTGCATTAGCTGCTGGAAGACAAAAGAACCCACGTTTGCTGGCGAAGAAAGCTAGAGAAGAAGCTGAAGCAAAAGCTAAAGAAGGTGAAGCAAAGAAAGAGTAAATGGTTTATTTTTATCCGAATTAAATGTATAGACAAATACCTTTATCTGTTGCGTTCAGTAGTGAAAACCCTGACGTCAAAATAAAGGGGAACAGAGTAACGTTTAAGTTTCAACAGACTGGATTGTGAACATAAATGAAGAGAAGTACATTGGCATAACAAATATGTATATAACACGTGCTTTCAGAAAGGTTGACTTTATACTTCAAGTCGAGATAGAAAATGACGAACAGTCTTTAAGCGCCCAAAACATTCACATATACAAATACTTTAAAGACGATACAACATTGCAACAATGTATGATTTCATTTAATGAAATGTTCGAGAAAAAGTTTAACATTGAAGTACAAACTTTACAGCCTTTACGTGAGTTTCTTGCACAACTGAAAGAAGAAGGTAGTCAGCCACAACTTATAGACTTTCATTATGAATTTAATGAAAATGAAGATGGAACACATGACTGTCAGTTTGTTGTATTCTCACCATTCAATGAAGTCGCTAAAGAGAAAGAAAATCCATTACGTATAAGATTTCAAATCTCTGAACCAAGTGATGATTTCAAGAATGTTTTCAATTATGATGCAATGCTTCCGAGGAAAAATGAATTTTCAAAGATTGTAACACCTGGCATTTGGGATAGAAAGCAAGCTATTCTTTTCTCTAATATAGCCAAAGGCGTTGAAAATGAGTTCATTGGGCATACAAGAACTTCGCCACTTCCTAACCCTAAATACTATAAATTAACTGGCTTCAATCGTGTGTTTTGGATAGACATGTTCTCCACTCATGACCATAAAGCACCTGTTTTGCTACCTCCAGACCATAAGGACTGTCTCTACATTGAAGCACAACTCTTAAACTCTACCATCGCAGTATTGTAAATGACCACATGGGCTTATTTTTATCACGAATGACCTCATTGCTGACAAAAATAAATGACCTCAGAACTTCAACTTACGAATAAAGCTTGTTTTAGTCGTTATTGAGAAGTTAAACTTTTCAGCAAAGCAAGGTTGACATGACTTACATAAGTCAAATCCAATCTCTTGACCATCATGAAGTGCTTTGTAAAGTTTCATTAAACTGAACTCAGAGTCTTTGTCATATGTTCCTTGCGGAACCATTAAACCTTTATCTTCATCATAGAAACACTGAACAGAGTCAGGAAACATTTCATTAGCGGTTAAAGCAATAACATCTTGCTTCACGCCTTTCATTCTGCAGTGAAATGCAACTTCATTTAAATCATTCGTGAGTAAGTCTATGTAAGTCTTCTTTCCACAAAATATTGACTTGTATGCTAAACTTTGTTTTCCAGGTGTGATTTCTGCAAAGTCGCTATGAAATTGACCAAGGTTTTTACCAATGAGAACTCTTCCATAACGTTTCTCAAACTCTTCAGCTAAACGAGGGATATCTTCATTGTAGAGATGCATACTGTCCGTATCGCTATAAAAGATGTCCATTCCTAAGTCCTCAGCAGTACAGAATACTTCACACATTATTCTCTTCGACATAGACAGAATGGTAACACCAAGTGGACAGAAGTTAAAGTGTCTGCAAATGCTTTTCGTTAGCTTGAAAATAGTTTTATCTGAACCATCCAAACCTTCGAACTTCACTATATGGTTGTAGTTTCTGATGGCATATCTTATAGCATCTTTGTCATTTACTATGGTTATTTTTTGACTCAATAGGAGATAGAATAGTTTTGCCATAAATACTGTTCAGAATGAGCTTTATATTTTCTTGCAAAGGATTTCCTTCTTTCTTATACTTTAACCTTAACTCAAACAACTTCTTTACTTCATCTCTTATTCTAATATCTCTGTTTCCATCGTAATAGTATCCTTGCAACACTTCACATTTGACACCTTGATATTTTATGAGGTCTTGTAATGTTATATGGTCAACATACATTAAACAGCAAGTGTTTGAACTTCTGGGAACGTTAAGTTCTGGATTTAGTTCAGGGTCACAAACTATTAAAGGAAAGTGTCTATGTATTCCAATCTCTGTTATCTTAATGAGAACAAAGAAGCCAGACATAAACTTTTCACCAATGGGTTCCTGTTGGTCGTCATCGAATAAATGTCTCATGAGATACTCTGTGCTTAACATTTCTTTCTTCATAACCTTTGGAATACCTTCTAAAGTATAAAGTCTTGCTATAGCTGAAGGATATAATGAAACAGCGTCGAAGTCAGCAATGAGTTTCTTTTCGCTCTTTTGTTTAATGTTATCTGACAACATACATCTTCCACCTTGAATACAGCGTGAAATAAATTCTCTTGGTTTATTTGAGAGGTCATATAAATTTCCATTCGGGAAGTACACTCTGTTCTCAAACAATTTGTTAGCAATAGAACAAATACTAACGTAGTCATAAACGTTTAAATCAAATTCTTTCAATATGTCATTGCGGAACTTAACAAAACCTTCTCTTAAAATTCTTACATCTTGTTTGCAATAAAATGTACTATACTTTTCTAAGTCGAAGTGGTTCTCATCTATTCTGCAACCTTTGATGGAATCTATGTTTTTCATGAACGTATCAATATCTTTTACAAACTTACATGCTTCAGAAATGACACCAGTTCTGTTGTCATTTGCTAACAAAACACTGCTGTAGTAGTTGTATGGAAATACTTCTTTCGGTCCTGTTTGTAAGTTAAACATAGCAGGAAATAGTTTAAGCTTCTTATTTATAACACTGTAAGAGTCTTTTATAATAATTGCCCTTCCTTTATATAAGCCAGTTATTTGCATTGTTCGTGAACCTTTAATGATGGGAGTTCCTTTCACTTCTGTCATGTGTCTTAAGATGAAGTTTAATCATAACTGATTTAAAAATATATTAAACTCTTGTCAGGAAGTCGTTCCAAAAATTCTGTTGCACAGTTCTGACCCCAAATGCTTTCACTCACTGAACCATCTTCACTGTCGTAACATATGTTAAAAGCTTTATGAAAGCCGTCTGTGCTACACTCAAAGTCAGCAAAGAAAACGTGCTCAGGAATGAACTTGCACTTATTTTTATTTACTTCTTTTGACTCGGCTTTCTTCTTCAGTTGTACACAATACTTTGGAGCATATGACAAGTCTTTAAATGGTGCAAGGTTCTGTTTATATAAGTCAGTCGTATATGTGAAAAGTTCTCCATAAGAAATAGGTTCGAAATATTTGCACTCCCACAATGTTTTCATAACATCCCATAACGGTGTTGTTCTATCATAACGAACTACATATTTGTTCTCTCTCTTTGTATAAATCTTCATCTGTTTCTCAATGTTCATTCCACCACACTCCTTCAAGATTTCTATATAGTTGCGAATGAAATATGTTGTCATTGGTAATCTTTCGTTTAGCATGTAGTGGTCTTCAACAAGAAGTAAGTCAATAGTTCTAACAGTTTCACATTCTTTTGGTATGTATCTCTTTATTTCATTATGTCTTGAGTCATTGAAGTAACCAATGGTAACATTAAATGCTATACCTGTTGCGTCAGAAATTTCTTGTACTTTACTTTGAGGAAAGTCTCTAACACGAATGACTTCTCTCATGTGGTCAATAGTTTCTTCATTTACTCCAGCCTGAATGCAAGCATAAACGAAACAATTGTCTTCTGTCATAAGTGTTGCAGTTCTTTTGTTCAATTCATTGAAGATTTAGTAGCGTTCAAGATTTATAGGTAATGTGCAAAGATACTTCCAGAACTGACCGCTTCTCTTCTTATAAAACTTCTTTTCACCAAGGATTTCATTCCAGAAGTCATCTATATCTTGTTTATCTCCTGTTTGTTTAAGTCTGTTCAATAATCTTTTCTGTCTTTCTGTCAGTGTGCTTTCATCTCTATATGGTCGCTTCTGTGGCTTTCCTTTCTTAACATCTGACATTGTTAAGCCTTCATATTCTGTTAAATCATACATCTTTATTTCGGTAAGATTCTTTATGTTTGTCAAGAAGAAGTCATAGTGCATTTCAACAATACCTGCAGCATTTGCTTCTATCTCTGATATAAAGTTCTCCTTCAAGAGCTGATGTAGTAATGTTCCAATATTATTGAGGTTTAACGTAGAACATTCATACTTTCCACCAAGTTTATAACATACCATCCATCTCTGTTGTGAGTTTATTTTAATTTTCTCTAAGAGTCTCATGAAAACCTTACCGAAATGTTTGTGTAAGTAGTCTCTGTTTGGTTCATCTAAAGCTTCGATGTTAAAGTCAATGAGTCTATTGCCTGTCTTAACATTCCTCTTCCTATTCTCTTCATCTTTCTTTAACCATCTCTCACCTTCTTTTGGTTTGTCGTCAATGGAACGAAGGACATCGTTAGCTTTGCGAACTTGTTCTATAGCGCTCTTAAACATCTCTCTTCTCTGTTGTTTCAGTGTGTCGTCTCTCTTTCGTGTTTCACCAACGTTTGCATTTGTTATGTCAAACATTTCTCTTCTTACTTCATGAGGTACTGAACGTCTATGATATAAGTCAATAGCAACGTCATTTAAAGGAAATGTTTTGTTATTAATGAACTCATGAATTCTATCATAACTTATTGTACCATCATAGTCATTGAGGATGTCAGCGAGTGCTTTTTTGTTTGTTGCGTAATGCTTTGCAACATCTATGTTAGCTTCTGTAAGAAGTTGTTTTATTTCCGAGTGTTCTAACTTAGACAACTTCCGATACATCTTTAGTAGGAAATAAAAAAAATATTTTTTTGAAAAAATTAGATTAGATTTTTTTAAGTTATTTTTCAAAATAATTTAATATTTTTATTTTAATGAAACACATGCAAGATTGCAAGTTCTTTTCATACAATGCTCTCGCTACTGCCATCAAGAATGAGTTCAATAATGCTTCAAATGTTAATGTTATCTTTAACAAGAAGTTTGTGAAAGAATCTAAGTTTGGTCAGTATGTCAGACCATTAGCTATCGTCATTGACCGCAAACGTTATACTTCACAAGAGTTAGTAGTAGTTTTGAAACAAAAGAGTTTCTTCGTGAATGTCAAAGATACTCATTATACTGTTATAAAGAACTCTAACATTGACTTCTTCAGTATTGCTTTAAATCTTTCCGAACAGAAAGAATATAAGAAGGGTGAAACATCTGTGAAATATTATCCTTCATCTCTGAAGACAATAACGAACAAAGATGTTATACAGAAATTCTTACCAAAGGTTGAAGAAGCTTCTATTGACATTGACGAAGGAAGTGAAATGGTTGAAGAAATTGACCCTGAAGCTTTATAAGAAAATTTATTTTTGAAGAACTGAAGGTGTCACTACGTCACCATGTGTCACTCGGTTAATTAACTTCTCTGAAAAAATGAGACAACATGACATCACATTTTGACGAAGTGCAAATCTTCACTTCGTGTCAAAATGCAAAAATAATGCTGAAAAATGAAATTTATTTTTGAAGAACTGAAGGTGCTACCATGTTACCATGTGCTACCAGGTTAATTAACTTCTCTGAAAAAAAGAGACAACATGACATTTAGACAACAGCAAAGGAGGAAGGCATTTATGAAATATTTTTGTATAAAATTCCAAACAGTCAGTCAGTCGTCATTGACTGACTGTAAAAAATAATTTCAAAGCATTGAACAAAAAAAATATTTTTGTTTATTCTTCCTCTTTGAAGTTATCGAAATATTCTGTTATTTTTCCTTCAGTAATGTTAAGTCTTCTTTGAATGTAAGTATTGTGCAACCTTTGATGTCATAGTGTGTTTGAGGAAGAGTATTTTTGACAATTTCCTTTATTTGTTCATTCGGTGTCATTGAAATCGGTAAGTTTTCACGATAGAACCAGTTTCTGTCAGATTTATATATCTTAGCTAAGTCATAAAAGCTCTTGTTGTTTCTTCTCACTAAATGCAACATAACCATATCGTTATCTTCTTCCTTCTCCAACTCTTCAGTATATATCATATACTTATAACTCTTTTCCTTTCCTTTTGGTACTGAACGCGGTATTCTTTTCTGTATGCTTTTGTCTTTGGATTCAATGACTTCATCTTTTGCTTGAAGTTTCTTTTCCAACTCTCCACGTTCTGCTTTATATATTTCATCTAACATCATGAAAATATAACAAGCATAAAGTTAGTTTTATTTTCTGACTTTCACAAAAGACCAAAAATAAACGCTTTACATGTATTTTTCAGCAACTTCGTCAAATAATTTTATAGCTTTATCTATCTCATCTACTTCAAACGTTTCTTTACCTTTCGTGGGAGCACCATACATTTTCTCAAAAACTTCAAGCAGTTCTGTTTCAGCAGCTCTCATATCATTAACAAACACAACCTTGACTCTATTGACTGTACTGTCATATCTTTGAGTTATATTATATGTCCTTCCTATCTTATATCTTTTTGTGTTGAAGTCCTTCGGTTTCTGAACGATGTAAAGTAAGCCTTCACTGCAACGTTCTGAGTCGAATGAACCATATGTTATGAAGTTATATCCAACAACTGGGTCAATCCATAGAAGAATTATTGGTATAAGACTTTTGTCAATGAGATATGCTGTGGTTCCATAGAATCTTACCGATATCATGAGCTCAGGATTTCTTGTCAAAATTTTCTGAGTTGAAGCATTTCTAACCCAGTCGTTTGTTTTCTTTCCAGATGGTGTTATAATGTCTGACAAAGAATATTTGTTGTATTTCTTTGAGTATCTTACGTTTAAATCACCAATTCTAACCACTTTGGTGTCATTGTCTATCTTTCTAACTGTTTCAAACTCAATGTTTGTCATTACTGTCTTTACATATGAGATAAAAAAATAAATAAAAATAAAGTTTATGTTAGCATGTTAGATCTAACACGTTTTCTAACCACTTTTCTAACATAACTATTTACAAGCGTTTTACATGGTATATGTTGCGATGGTTCATGACTTTAAACAGTTTTGTAGCTTCTATTTCTTCTTTTAGTACATCAAAAATTTTAACAATGCCGAAAGTTTCTTTATACTTCTTCTTGACATCAGATAATAGGAAATCGTCAGCAGTTGGATAGTTTTTATTCAGAAATGCTAACATGTCCATTTTATCTTCTGCTGGTTTCTCTACTTCTTTCTTTAAGTCAGCATAGTCGTTTCTCATACGTTCTATCTCTTTTACTGAATAGTTATATTTCCTCATTGCTGCTTTACATTTTGAACATTGCGGATTCATTTTTGCGTTATATTCTGAAACCTTACCTGCTAAAACAACTAAGGCGTCAATGGTTTTCTTTAACTCAGAATATGTAGGTCTGATTTGTTCATTCCATATTTTACATCTTTTATCTTTATCTCTTATCTGCCATACACATTCAGCAACTAACGAAACAAAGTTGGTTTCACTTCAATTTCGTCGAATTCATGAATAGTGAGCTTTTGTTGTTGGATTTCAGGCAATTTGGGTAAATGGTCAATAATGTCCTGCATGTCATAAAGATACTGTTCATTTGTTTCATCTTTCGCACTACAGTCTAAATTACTTGTTAAAAGTTCTTGCTTAATTCTTTGTATTTCTGTCTCAAAAGTATATGAAGAAGGAATGAAGCTTTTCATCTCTACTAACATTGACGTAGGATTCATAACTAAAGAGTTTGGTGAAGTTGTTTGAATTGTTGTTGTGCTGATTGTTGAAATCATATCTTTACATACAAGATAAAAATTTTCTTAGAAAAAAAATTAGCGTTATTTTTCTTTCATAAGGAAATGTCAAAAATTCATGATTTTCGAGAGTTTTAGACCATGTTAGAAAAGTGGTTAGAAAACGTGTTAGATCTAACATGCTAACATAAACATTATTTTTTGGTCATTTATGTTAAAATAAATGGTACCATTAATGATATCATGACTGTTCTCATTCATGTCTGATTTACATCTAATGAAAAAGTTTAGAAGAATTTTCTTATTCTTTCTGGCTTATTTTTGTCTTTCCAGTACTCCCGCTCTAATGGTCCCAGATGTGTTGGCTTTGACTCTCTCAAGTTCTTAGATGGTATAACATCTTCAACGCCTCCTTCATATCTTACTTTATAAGTGTCATCGTTTATGTTGTAGCCAAGTATTTCAATAACCACTCCTCGCTTTGCTTCGTCAATGGTTTCAGCAAGTTTGCCATTACTACTTTCAACTAATTTATGTCGAGGATAAAACGCAATAGAGTCGTCAGCAGCTTTTATAAGATATCCATTACCTTGTGTAGAGTCTACGATATAATAGTTTCTACTTAACCTTAAACGTTTCTTTGTCAACGGTTTGTCGTCAAGAACTACACGAACTTTTGTACCAGGAATGAGGGTAAATTGTGTTGAATTTCTGATATTTTGTGTTTGGCTTCGTTTCTTTTGTATATACTTTTCTTCTTGTTGTTGTGTCATTGAATTTGGTGTATGCCCTGTTGTAGAATGTGTTGAGGAATTGTAAACTTCGATGAAATGTTTCATTGTTTCTTCGGTAAAGTCTCGCTCTTGGTTTAAATCTCTGAGCGTTCTTATGAAGCGGTTTATGATGCCGAGTATGTTATGGTTATGGTCTTCAGTAGTGTAGTGAGTTATGTTATGCTTAATGAGAAATTCTGTGATTTCATTGCTGAGGTATGCACTGTCTTGGTCTGATGTTAAAGTACTTGGGCTATGTTCTGCTACAAACTTTTGTAAAACTCTTAACACTTCACGAGTTCCTTTATTTTTCATTGGATATGCATATGCTTTGCGAGTGTTAACATTAATGAAGATGAGGAATGGTGGCTTTCTTCCTTTCTTACTCTGAACGAGAGTGTCAAATTGGTATGCGTCAGGAGTGTTGGAGTAAATTGGTAAAAAGTAGTCATAAGGGTTTATTTTTGTTTGATGTACAACATTTTTGTCAAAGAACCTTTTCACTTCAGCTCTGTTAGTAAATCCCCAACTCTTTGCAGCTTCATTGAACTTCTTAAATGACCTCCATGGATGTTGTTCGAATACTTCTTTCAAGCTCATTTATGTAAAGTTAAAGATTTTATTCAAGACGGTAAGCCTTGACCCAAAGGGTCTAAGCTCAAGCGCGTTCATTGAACGCGGTACCATGCGAATACAGTCACAAATGGTGGCATATAATCTTCACCCGAGCCTGTTGGATTTGTTGTGAAAGTGTGTGAATGATTTCCTCCCGGTTCAGTTGGTCGAAAAATCTTTTTTACTGCATTGTTATAAGATGGAGATAAAACGTCATGGCCAGCTTCATACTCTGAGTTGTATAATGGGTGGTCTCTTAATGAGTAGCTATGGTCGCCAGAAAAGTTTGTCGTTCCTGTATGAGTGTGCGCGGGTAAGTTTGCTTCAGTAATTTTCTTCGAACCTCCTGTTTGCTTTGAAGAGTTAGCACAGTATAAGAATTTATCTACAATCTGCTTCCACGTACCAAAACCTAAAACACTTGCTGGATTTGTTGAATTCATTGACGTATAAATAGAACCAACAGGATATAATGTTTGAAGTATTTCAGTCTTCATTGTTAGAAGTTCATGTTTAACATTTATAAATCTTTTGCCATCTACAATATTTATATTGTTTGTTATTAAACCATTAGGAAAAGTAGGAGGATAAATTCTTTGTTCATGTACAGTTGCACCTTTTCTTCCTGTTTTTGTTACTTCTTCAATGCATGCCTTAATTTCTTTAATCCTGATTGTTTGAAATTCTTCATGTGTATGGTTCTTGTCGGCTTTTCCATTAAGCGCAGCATTTACTTCCGACTTCTTTGCATAATTTTCATCTACATAAGTTTTATCTGCTTTTTTATCTAACATTGCTGGTAGTTCATATGCTTCAAAGTTTCTGGCATGACCTTCAATATTCCTGCAACTGTTATCTAAATTGTTAAGAGTATCTTTTACGCTTGTACTTGGATTTTCTAATGGTGCACTTGAACCAAGGTCAAAGTTCAATATTATGTCGTCTGCTCTAACAGTAGTGAAGGATTTATGTGTATGTTCTTTGTCAGCTTTACTATTTAATGTAGCTTGAAGTTCATTTATATCGGAGATGTTGTGTTTATGAGATATCAAAACTTTGTTCGTTGCTTCAAGTTCAACTTTGTCAGCTTTACTTTTAATAGCATTTTCAAAAGTTATTTTTGCCTTAACTCTCAAAGTAAATCTTGGTTCAACTAATACACCGTTAACATTGAAAGTAGAGGCATAAATTTCATCGTTATAACCAAATGCTTCTGGTGCTTTAGCTACATCATACTGTACAGTACAGCTTATGTCATAACCTTTAGCACGAATGTATTTATATCTTCTTTCATTGGGGTCTTCCGTCTTCACTTCATCACTTCGTGTTAAATATCCATGGTAGTCCGTTATAATCTGTTCGTCTGAAGTTATATAATGAACGTGGTTCTTGACTTTATCACTCAGAGCTAAAAGCTCATTTTTGTCTGCTTTTTCGGCTAATTTCTCATTAACATCATTCACTTCTAATTCAACTCTTCCACCAGAACTCTTATTATCATTAATCTTTTTCATTAATTCGGTAATTACGTCATAAAGACTATATTCTGTTTTCGGTTTTGTAAATAATGAGTCAAAATTTCTTTTCATCATTACATCGCTGACATTAATGATATCACCAATTCCTTTTTCATTTATTCTCTTCATTAATTCTGCAATAATGACGAATATATAATCTGTTAATTTATTCCCTTCATCGAGGGTTATAGAATGTTTTGAAATTGAATCATTAACTCCTCTAAATAAATCAATAACTTCAGGATACACGTTTTTAATGTCTCGAATAACCCGACCAGTATCCTGTTGTTCATGTTCTTCGTTCCCGTCGTTACGTGGTTTTATATCTCTAGCCATCATCAACGCAGCCATAACCGGATGGTTTGTTGCTATCTGTTCGAAAATCCGTCCGTTATGTACGGTATATCTAAATAATTTCTTTGTGTTTGTTAAAACATTTGAAACAAGTCTTTTAAAACCATCAACAAAATTTCCTGTTTCACCTAATGTTCTTGCAGCATTTACAAGCTCACTCATTCCCGCTTTTGACCCCAAAAACGTCCATATTGCATTTATTTCACTCTGTATTGTTGTCCATTCCGCAGAACTAATGCCCGCATTCGCTAAGCTGAAAATGAAATTCAGTGGATCAAACTTAATTCCACCTTCTTTTTCAATTTCAACGAACTCACTAACATGAGATTTTAAATATTCTTTCGTTAAAATTGTTTTCCCTGATGTTATGCTGTTAACGAAACTATCACTGTCAAAAGTTAACGAATTCAATTTCGTCGTTGATGCTTTTATTTCATACACCGCTTTATCAATAGTTTTTGGCTCACCTTCTTTAGAAGTGTATGAAACATTAATGAATGAATTATATGTATTCGTGAATGAGTTAAAATCAATGATTTTCATTAATGACGCCTTTAATGATTCATTAACTACTGACTCCCTTAACTCAATTACTGAGTTATCGTTTATGAAAGGAACACTGCAAACCGTTGTGTTTGGATCAAATGCCGTAGTCGGAGAAGGAGTATTAATGATATAAGTCATTAAATCATTAAGTGACGTAAATAATGTTGTCGTTTTTGATTTAATTTCTTTAGCATCTGTTATATACGGTAATTTTATTTCTGTAGTTTCTGAATTAAAGATATTCGCTAAAATGTTTTGTAAACTGTTTTGAACAGCTGTGTAAACCGTTGAATCCGGAACTCTTACGATTTCACCGTCCTTAATAAAAGGCATTGCACATGGTGTAGTGCTTGGGTCAAATCTTTTTGGGTTATGATTCAACATATATTCTAATGCTTCATAAACAGACCTATATACGGTTGTATTATCTTTTTCAATAATTTCACCGTCCTTTATAAACGGCATAGTACATGGAGTTAAAATAGGGTCAAACTTTTCATAGTCCTTCCATGTTATGTATTTCTCAGTATTTCCATCAGTGATAACAATATATTTGTCAGTAAGTGTGAGAGAGTATTGACCAAAATATAAACGTTTAGCTCTGTCAGCTTCATACGCATATGCAGCTATACTCATATTTTAATGAGAATAAAATGTTGTTCTATTTGCAAAGTACAGACCCAAACGAATACGGGACAGTAAAGCTACAAACAAACTTAGGTCTACAGAATGAGGCGCTTGCATTCAGAATGGTTGACTTCAATACTATCGCTTCATTCGTTATAACAGATGAAACAGATTTCATGGAGATTGAAATAGATGGAAAGAAGCACAAAATAAGATTTCACAATAATGTAGAATATAAGATGGAAACATTAGCTGGAGTGTTAAATGCTCTCATAAATACTACAATAAACAAGGATAACGAAGAAAACTTAATGAATGTTAAACTTATTGCAGGAGTTTTGAAGTTCAGTTATGCGAAGGAGTTTAAGATAACACGAATGAGTCATAGAGTTCAATTGCTTCTGGGAGCATACCATATGACATTTCCTTTGAAAAGTGTTGACAAAACGATTGAGATGAAATCTGTTCCATACGTATGTTATGGTAATTGTTTATACATTGAGTCTAAAATAGCTAATGTCACAGGTATTTCAGGAGTTAATAGTAAAGGTTCAGTAGAATATAAATCCTTCTGTTATGCAGTCAATTCACTGTTCATTCCAAACGTTCCTGTCATAGCAACTCATTTAGGTAAATAGGTTCGCATTAGTCCTCATAATTTGAAAGACATGCAATTCAGACTTGTTGACTTTCAAGGAGAGCCTGTAGAACTGAAGGCACCAGTGCGAATGACTGTTGAAGTTGACTTTTTAGAAAATATTAAATGCAACAGCTTACAAGAGAACTCAGAGCTAAAAATATAAAGTATGAATGTTATGTATTAGGTCATGAGCTTTGGTTGTTGCTGTTTGATGAAACAAATGAGTTAGTTATGTCAGTCAAGAGAACAGAAAAATATTGTGTTAGTGAAAACTGCACCAAGTCAATAAGATTAGGTTTGCATTATGAAGATGAGTTCGATACTGTTGAAGAAGTTTTGGATAGATATTACAAATTGCTAACTTGAATTTTTTTTTTGACTGACGGCGCAAAGCGCCAAGATGGGCTCAAAGAGCCCTCCTGACTGCTTTAATTTACTAAAACATATCTCAAACAAAGCTTATATTCTGTTGAAAGTTTTGTATACTCGTTCGAATATTTATACTTAAACTCAACTCCTGTAGTTCCTGGTGTTTTCAATGATGCGGATGTTACCTATTTTCATGAATAGTGGAGTTTGACCACAGCATTCGATTTCAGGGTCGAGATAGTCAATGACACATTGTTTCCCTGTTATTCGTGATATAACATTTTCAAGGTCCTCCTTTGTTAGAATTATTTGGTTCTTGCTTATAAGGTTTGTCAAAAGCTTCTTATCGTCTTTGAGTAAAATTGTTTGGTATAACTGAAGAAGGTAATGGTCTACGTTATCTGAAGGATTTGTTTGAACATTTGTGTAAGGGTTGTCGTTGGCTTCTCTTGAAAGAATTTGGTCCAGTGGTGGATACTCTAACTTAACATCTGATGTAGCGTTAGCGTTTGAAGCTGAGTTTAAATTCACGGATTTCAGCTCTGGTTCTGGTTCTTTCAAACACTCTGAACTATAGTTCTTTATGACAATATTGTTTGTTGTTCGTGAGTCAACATTTGATGTTGGTTCAATTGGAACATTAACGGCACCAGCTAAGATGGATTTGCTTCTCATTTCATATAGAATAAAAACCTTTTATATGTATGAAATGAACAATATACTCGACAAGGGTTTGAATGTAAAGCTAACGAATGAAAATATTGTTGAATTCACTGAGACAGGAGCTGTGTATAAAGATGTAGAACTACTGAACAAAAGAGCAAAGGGAAGAAGCAGGAACATGAACAAAGGGTGGAAGCCTATAAAAATTTATGTCAATGATGGCTCAGGAGGTTCAAACATAAAGTATGCAGAAAGTTATAGAGTTTATGCTCTCAAAGGTGAAAAGCCTTCATTTAAGAACAGCTATTCTAACGCATATCCTCAAAAGCTAACGGATGGGGAAGTGGATGATATGAATGACAGCAAAAATATTAACAGAAATGGCGACAGAGATGCATGGAATTTGTTTACCATCAGTCAATTGAAGGTTAAACTTTAAAACAATGTTGGTCGTTCCCATGGAATATTTTTGACTTTAATGGTATTAGTCATGATATGAATCTCAAGGTATGAACGAGGAGAGATGAGAGACTTATATGCTTCCCAAATTTCTTCAAAAGGTAATGTTATACCTGACTGTTTCCAAATGAGTTCAATATCATAACGTGAGAAACCTTGAAAGATAACGAAGTCAGTTATGAGACGTTTTATGTTTAAAGCTAAAAACCTCCATGTTTGCATAAGTATTGCTACAGTTAAGTGGTAATGTCTGACTTTAGTAATGATGTTAGCTAATGGTGAGTCTGGTTTTGACACTAAACCTTTTCCGGCGAAGTCGTCACAAACGAGCAGAGTGTTTGAAGGATACTTTTTGAAGGGGTATTTTGAAAGTTTTGACAGAATGTAGTTTGTAGTCGTTTCATATCGTAAACTCCTGAGTATTGACGTAAGTGGTGTTTGTCAATAATTCTTTCCATCTCCTCAGAAGTCTTTTGCATTCCTGACTGTATAACTTCAACGATGGCATAATATTTTCCTCTTACGTCGAATGTAACGTTGAAGAAATTCAATGAGTTCACTGTCTGGAACTTTAACGACAGAGGCTTGAACTTTTGACATAAATGTTTTCGCTGTTGAATCCATAGAGTCTGAAGTTGCTGATATAATGATTTGGTCATAATATGAGTCGTTTCCTAAACGTTCTGTTATGAGTATATGACGAATGAAATTAAATGTCTTACCTGAACCCATCTTTCCACAATAGAAATACACACCATTTGAACAGAACTCATAATCTTTGCTGAAAGGAAGAATGAGAAGAGTTAAGTTTTCTGTAGTTTCATTCATGTCTTCATCTACGTCATGTATTAAATGCTTCATTTTATCTCCATTAAAAATGCAAGTCAGAAATATTCAGAACATAGCACCGAGTCTAACTGACAAGAGTATAAAAGATATACTATGAACACGTTATGATGAAACCAACCAAAATTCAAGAAAGTCAGTATACTTATGAATATCCAAGACACTGGGTAGAGTATGTAGGAGGTGAGAAAGCTATTGAAATCAGACAGGTTCGAAGTATTCCAGCAGGAAGAACAATATTATTGAAGAACTTTAATGTTTTGAGATATAATGATGAAACAAAGAAGCAATAGTTTCCCTGTTGCTGTGTATGTGAACTTAGATACAGGAGATGACATGAAAGTTTTTAATACAAAGCTTCAAACGGTAGTGAGAGAACAACTTACTGCGGAAGGACATCCATTACCTTCAGAAGTTACCATAGCATATAATTTTGAAACAAACTCAATAGATTTTAAAGTCGTCTCTGCAAAGAAGTCAGGTTTTACATTTAATGAAGCAGATGTATATTCGAATGAAAACTTCAAAGCTATTGCATGGTTAGATAATGACGATTGCTTTAAGAAAATATTTAAATTCAGTGACTCAAAGATGTCAATAGATGACCTTCGTGGAATGTTACCATCGACGTTTACAGTTGAAGGTTCAGCAGGATTGCTTACAAGATTGTCAATGTGGTATTTGGTCTCGTGAGAACATTGTTATAAAATCCAGTATAAGTGAATTTGCTGAAGAATCTATATTATGTCTTTCAAACTATATGTATTCGCCGAAAGCATTATAGTATAACAAACTTTGTCAGTAAGTTTAACATAAGACTTGTCGAACCTTCTTCAATGAAAGATGTTGTGCTACCTAAAGATGGAAAGGATGGACTCATTTTGAGATGATTTTAATAGCATATTAAATGAGCTTGTTCTTGAAGGTCATTCATGATGAAATAACTGTTGTAGAAGATGTTAGCAATTGTTCAGACATTTTGAAGCGTATAGATGATATAAGAAAGAAGTTTATGAATGAGAATGTTTATGTTTCATTGACTTTCTCCAGTAATGAGAACTTTTATGAGATAATGTTGAAGAGAGATGATTTTAATATGGGGTAAATGGTAGCTTGGGCAGCTTTAGGCGCAATGGGAACAAAAGCATTAGCATTTGGAGCAAAAGCACTTGGAGCTTATGACGCAGTAAATAAAATGAGTGGAGGAAGGGTTTCAAAGACATTAGATGCAAATAAAGGAAAGATTGGAGGCTGGGTTGCAAAGAAGTTAAGATTAAATAAAATAGGGCTCATAAATAAAGCATCCAATTTGGTTGCGACTGAGTCAGAAAATGCTTTAGGAACGGACGATGAGTTTGCAAAACACGCAAAAGACTTTAATGACCAGATGAAAGGTGAAACAATGCATTTAAATAGAGTCGATGGAACTAAAGAAAATGTTTCTTCTCCACCAGTAGTTCTTCCGTATGGTCCCTATGGAATGTATGGAAACCCTTACGAAAGACCATTTGACCCATTGACTGGTGGAAGTAACTGGTATCATTACGGACGAAGAAGAAGAAAGACAGTCAAGTTGGAGACAGACGTGAAGAAAGCAACTAAAAAGAAACCAAGGAAGAGAGTTATAAAGCAATGAATTCAACAGGGTGAAAAACCGGTGGTGAAAAAAGAGGTGAGATCTCACCACTTCACCTAAATTTATTTTTGTGCTATGTTTTCATACGTGTGAGGGTGGTGATATCATTTTATTTTTAAGTTTATTTTTATATAAATGACAGAACAAAAATAAAGCATATCTACTCAACAGGAATGGACCTTACTGACTATGTATTCGTTTAATGCTGATGAAAACAATGGTACATATTATCGTATGGGTATACACAACGTCTGTTTCCATCGTCGTCGTATATGTAGAGCTCAAATCCAGTCCAACCTTCTTTTGTACAATATGTAGCTTTATTTAAGTATGCATTTATATAGATAGGCCAATTTTCTCTCATCGCTCCAGAAATAATTTTTTGTTCTTTGTTGA